AGGGTCAGAGGGAGAAGCAGACTCCCTGCCGAGCAGGGAGCCCGATGCGGGACTCGATCCCGGGACTCCAGGACCATGACCTGAGCCGAAGGCAGTCGCTTAACCAACTGAGCCACCCAGGCGCCCAATAGAAAAATGGTTTTTATAAACACTTGCTCTTCATACAATTTCTCAGAATACACCTATTTGACACAGTTATTTACAACAAAGCTCAGTAATATGATCTCAAAACTGAGTGAAAACAATCAAACCCCTTAATGTTGTACAATTTCACTTTTTTGTATAATAATCAGTGTTGTTTGCTAATAAAAAGACTGAAACCTATGGCAGTGAAAAAACAAAGAGCACAAAGTATTAAAAGCCACCAATTTTAAAGACGTGTATTCAAATTGGTCTGCTCATTAGCTATTTTGAAGACCCTAAACTCACTTTTTTTCTGTTCTCCAAATTTTAAGAATTGGATTAAATTATCTTTATCTCCACCTATTTTTTAAATTCCATGTATCCACAGGAATGTCTAAACAAGTGCTTCTTTTAAACATTTTAAGAAGGGCAAAAGTATGCCCATTAAGAAATACACCAACTAAAAGTTAAAACAACTCACATATGCTTACTTACTTTGAAAGGTTTGTCTCCACTGTGTGTCAGCATATGCCTCTGTAACCAACTCTGACTGGTTGACGGAGTGTTATATACTTTGCAACCTTTCCATAAGCAAACAAATACCTGTTAAAAGAAGAGCCATAATTTTCATCACTCATTTCAACAGTTTTATTCCTTGTAAATTCAAATGAACACGTTGCAAGTCTTTAATTGACAAAAAGAGCCATTAATGTATGAATCAGTCAAAATGCTTAAACTTTTGAACTTCCAGTATGAGAGGCATGGTTTTAACCTTTTCCCCTTAAGGCTGCGGTCCAATTCCTTAAATGGGGACTGACAAACCAATCCCAAAGTGTCACTGAGAAGGAAATATACAAAATATTAACAATATATCCCTAAGGAACCAGGACTATACACCATTATTTTTATATTTACTACATGAGGGAACAAGCATGTATTAATCATAAATATCAGGAAAATATAAGGGTATAAAGAAACAATAAAAATAAATCAAAATAATCAAATATTAATTTTTAAAGATGAACTTAAAAAAATTACTAAAGCAATTAAATTACCAAATTAAATTTTTCTGCTCTTGATTCCTTATTCTCACATGCATACTAATACTCAATTTTACAGTGTTCATTAAAAATTATTTCTAATTATCTTGATTATGAAGCAAAATTTAATACAAAATGTTAAATTAATACAGTTGCAAAAGCAATGGGTATAAACTGTTCTATCATCATGATAGATCCACATTCCTGGATTCACGTAATTGAGTATAACTGGGCTTGGAAAGTATTAATCTAACAACTAACAATCTAATCTTTATCATCTTCCTACTAATGAGAGATCAGTTTTCTAACATTATATTTCCATCAAACTGAACACTGAAAACTGTCCCCCAACATCAGTAAAAGTATGAATCCACTGTAATCATAACCTTCAAAGAATCATTTATAGGCTCTGCTCTCTTCTAAGGTAAGAGCAATTATAAATAGAGCGACACTTTGAAGACTTTACTGTATGTAGAACAGAATAAACTTACAGAACTGAAGAAACAATCATTAAACAGTTTAAAATAAACTTTTTTTAAAGCCTAGAAAAATCAACAGTCTAAAATAACTGAATTTTTACCGAAAACCAAAACCATTTTATATCAGATAGGTCTAACAAGGCAATACTGCTTTTGCTGTTTGACACAACTGTTTAGATACATATCCTGACTCCTGTACAGATTGGCTAATTTCTTTTAGTTAAACAGATATAGAAATCATTACATTTCCTCCTTCATACTTCAAATCCCTGACCCTAGTGTAGGTTTATAAAATGATTCCTGAAGTTCCCAGTAATTAAGAGCTACTTTTTAAATAAATGTGAAAAAAAGAAAAAAGTTCTTAAAACTACATGTATTATCTTGTGGAAATAAATTAATTCAATAATGTTTAATAATCACATGCAGATGATCAGTGCTACCTATCAATTTCCTGACTCAAGACTACTAGATTCTAAGTCTTGAATATTCAATTTAAGTAATAAACAGGACTCAGAGGTTGGTTTAAAATTCTCTCACAAGTCATACCACATAAAGAAAAATGCCTTAAAGCAAGTAACTGGAAACAAAATTAACATCATTTATGTAATGATTTTTGTAACAGTGAAGAATTCTGCTGTCTTAACTCTTAAGTAAGCTCTGTGCTGAGTCACTTTCAAACAATAAAGGTAAATACTCAAACACTACCCCTACCTAACATTAGCCAACCACTGCATTTGAGAGCAACAACAATCTGACTTCTCATTTTTTTCCCTGGTAATAAACATGAATATGGAGACAATGGCAGACTGTAATTCCACTCGATAACAGCTTTCACTCTGAGTAGGTATGGGCTAGACTCTAGATGGAATAATGTCTAGTAACATTATTAGAGAAACACCTTCAGATTCAAAGAAAAACCATAACCTTCAACCTAACACATTTTATAGGAAATGAAGTAAGTGTAAAAAGAGACCAAAGTTAACTATGTTTAGCTATAATGGGGTGAGAAATATTTGGAAAATAATTCCCGGGGATGGGGTGTAGGGGAAGAGGAAGCACTAAAGTTGCACAAAGACAAAAGAGGCACCACAACACCACACCAAGGATCCATAAAAACCACAAAACTGTTTAAAAGCTGAATTTTTTCCCTAATCTATGTTAGGAAGACACTTTGATAAAAAAAAGTTCAAAATCTGACAAAAGGGTCTTTCTTCTAACGTGAGTTTTTAGATGCACAGGATCTGAAAAATGTTTTCATACCCAATTTTTAGAAACTTTCTCATTGTAAAAATTAACCCTGAAAACCAAACACCGTAGGAATCCAATCCAAATGTGAAAGGAATTATTCAAAAATAAAATAAAATCTGTCATGGTTCCTCTATACCATCTTAAAACAAATTAAGATCTAGGTGTATTAATTAGAATGCTGAGGCACAGAGGTGCATAGTGTAGTCTCTCATGAAAGGCAGACATATAAGGTTTATTATTAGATGTAATAGACCTGGGTGGCTCAGTCAGTTAAGTGTCCGACTCTTGATTTTGTCTCAGGTCATGATCTCAGGGTGCGCTCAGCATGGAGTCTGCTTGAGAGATTCTCTCTCTCCCTCTTCCTCTGCTCCTCCCCCTGCTTGTGCTCTCTCCCTCTCTCAAATATATAAATAAAATCTTTAAAAAAAAGAAAAGTAATAGAAATAGCACAAAAGTAAATGACCTGAATTCTATCCAGAGCTTTCACACTTTGCAGCAATGCTGGAAGAATACTTATCTAAACCTCTATTTCCTTTTTCATCAAACACTGTGAGCACACATTTGCTAACTCCAAAATACGATGAAAATGCAAGATTATTTAAGTTCTCTCAGAAGGACTACTGAACAGAAAAATTGGGTTTATAATAGAGACTGGCGGTCCTTTCTCAAAATAACTGCCACCAAATTTTTCTGCCAGACT